TCCTCCTACCAGCAGCATTTGAGAGTTCTGATTGTCCCAAACTCTGAACACTTGGTATCTCTGTTTTGTGACTTTACTCAGATTCTTCAGGTACCTAAAATGGCCTTTCCCGGTCTCTCCCTTTACAGTTCACTCTTCCAGAAAGTCCAGCTCAAGCATCAACTGTTCATTAGCCTTCTTGGCCTTAGTCTTTCAGGTGGAATTTGTTGCTGTGTCCTCTGCACTGTAAATATTAATATATTACAGCCTTGGCCATGCTCTGCTTCACAGCAGTGAGCGAGCGTGCTGACTCTCCTCCTGGATAATAAGCTTTTTGAGAGTAGAGGCTGCACTTCATTCTCCGAGAGTCTCCCTAGCCATAGCACTTTTACCTTACAGGTACTTCATGAATATTTCTTTTGCTTACTTTATCACAGGGAAAAGCTTTTAAAAATAGATTTTTGGTAAATGATTATTGAACCAAGCAGTGAAACTTCACATTTTTTCTGTATAGGGAATGCATCATTATTTCCAGTATAACCTACTTATTGATATTAATTAATCTTTTTAAACTTCTTGGTGTAGGGCTCATGATTTAGCTTGGGAACTCTCTTTTTCGAGGAAAGTAAGAGCCTCTTTTCTGATCCTGGGAGATCATGTGACCATTCTTTGTCATCCTCACATAAAGCAGATTTTCGTGGCATAATTTAAAAATGAAGTGCTTCCGGCTGGGTGCGGTGGCTCACGCCTGTAATCCCAGCACTTTGGGAGGCCGAGGCGGGTCAATCACGAGGTCAAGAGATCAAGACCATCCTGGTCAACATGGTGAAACCCCGTCTCTACTAAAAATACAAAAAATTAGCTGGGCATGGTGGCGCGTGCCTGTAATCCCAGCTACTAAGGAGGCTGAGGCAGGAGAATTGCCTGAACCCAGGAGGCGGAGGTTGCGGTGAGCTGAGATCACGCCATTGCACTCCAGCCTGGGTAACAGGAGCGAAACTCCGTCTCAAAAAAAAAAAAAAAAAAAAAAAGTGAAGTGCTTCCAAAGAGTCAGATTCCTAAGGGAAGATTGGAATGAATGATGGCAAACCATATAGCTTTTTAGCCTACTGGAGAAGTGGAACTGTGCTCTCCTGTACTTTATGAAATGGAGTCAGGAGAAATGAAAAGACCCAGTGGTAGCCTTGGAATCCTTAACATTTAATTAGTGTGAGGGAAAAGCAGGCCTGATGCCAAGGAGACCTGCCCTCTCAAGCTATCCTGTGAAACCAGAGTGAGTGGTGTGATCAGATTGTATCAGCAGCCTCTAGTGCCATACCAGAGCACAGTAGGAGGTCGTGGTACTTTTGAACAGGAAAGCTTTACCTAAGGATTTGAAAAAATGATGTGCACAGAAGCATTTTATAAAAAATTAAAATGTTTAAATGAAATTATTCAGCCCACAGCAGGGAAGAGAAAGGAAAAACTGGAACCCACCGGTACCTCTGCATCTGTCTGTCACCCTCTCTAACTATTGACAGCCTTAGGGCTACTGCTTCAACTTCACCTCCTAAATCTTGCACAGCCTTACTTTGGACCAGTTCTGACTTTTGTCTATGGAAACATGTAAGGAAGGGACTCTGGGCAGTGCAGTTTTCCGTGCAACCAAGTTGTCAGTAGAGCATTCCAGAACACACACTCATAGACAGGAGAGCCTGGAAGGGGGAAAGAAAGAATATTTTCCCCAGTATCCAGTGCCTGTTGTGTTGTCTGTGCTGGTTTTTGTTGTTTGTCTTTGACCACTGATAACAGTCTTACAAATGAGGGATTTCTCAGGGATTCACAGCTAACTAGCAAGATTTACAGCCTGGATTTTTAGCTATGTCTGTATGGGCTCAAAGCTAATGTTTATTATAATGGACTCTGCTGTCTTCCATGGAAAGCATTTTTATTGGACTCTACTGGTTTTCCTGTTTGTTTGAATTAGGAAATAAAAATGTTAAAAACTAAGGTTTAGCAGAACTACTGAGTTTTTCGGCATCCTCAGCTGGTTGCCACACTAGATAAGTAGCTGTAGGACAGACCGGGCAGTGACTCATATGGGCACTGACTCATATGGGCACTGCTTTTAGGTCAGAGGAAAATAACTCAGGCAGGGCTAGCAGAGCTTCCATTTTATTCTCAGCAGAGCTTATAGCTCCCTTTGGCTGTTCCCAGAATTAGAAAGCTCGTCAGGGATGCTACAGATGATGCTTTAGAGTTGAGAGTTAAGACTGAGCCTCAGCTGCCCATCCCCCTTGTCTTCTTTAAAAGATAGTGTAAATTTTAAGGTTGAAAAAGAAACTGCTCATTTTAGCAGAGAACAAAACAGTGGGGCCCTTTTGGGAGTAGGTCAGGCTTTCATGGTCTTCCTCATTTTACTTCCTGCTGTTTCAGTTTACCCAATAAATTTTCTTCTGGGAATCACCTAGAAGTAGAGTCATATAGCCTAGTTTGAAAAAGAGGAGTTAAGTTCGTTTAGAAGAGAAGGGACATAGATCTCTAAGGGCACATACAACTTGGTACAGCAATGCAGGCTGAGACTATCTAATAGGAATTTGAGTGCTTTACATTTGTATTTTCCAAGCTCACTCTTAGTTTCTTAAAGTACTGCCTTAAACAATCATTTAAAGATAATTCTGTTAACATTTAAAGGTGGTTAATTCAGAGGTCTGATCATATTTTTAATAACATTAAAGTTTCATTAACTCAAGATTATTAATACAAATGTAATAAATTTGTGAATCAGTTTAAAAGTAGTCTCTTCAAATATGTGGATTAGTGGGGTTTTTTGGTTATTTGAAGTAGCTATGCTAATAGAAAATGGCTTTCTTCTTCCTTCTCATGAAAGTATAGAATATATCCAAGATATTCTTAAGTAATTAGTAAAAGAATAAAGCCCTTCATAGTTGAACAACACTCAAAATGATGAATTTGAAAATCAGTCACAATGTATCAAACTGTTTAGAATTACTTACCTGGAGACAGCCCTTAATAGAGCCAAGATATAAGCACTTACCACATCCAGCTTTTATAAAAGGAATACATCCTTAAATGTAAAATGACCTGCATGGGATTTGTAGGGATTAACTCAAGTGCGGTTTCATTACTCTGTTTTTCCTTCCCTTCTATTCATTCTGTACTTTTTATTGCCTGGTATTTGCTTATTTTATTTGCACTGTTTTCTTTTTATTTGTGCTGTCATTCTTCAGTGTCCTCCTAGTATCCGGTACATATTAGCCATGATAATATGTATTATATTTGTTGCCACTGTCTTACTCCTCACTATATTGGAGCACCTTGAGGGTAGGGACTTTGTCCTTCCTAGATCTCAGATATGGCTTACTGCAAAAATGATTCTGTGGGATCTCTCTCTCTTTCTCTCTCTCTTTTTTTCTTAAGAGACAGAGTCTTGCTGTGCACCCAGGCTGGAGTTCAGTGGCACCATCATAGCTCACTACAGCCTCAAACTCCTGGCTTCGAGCAATCTTTCCACGTCAGCCTCCCTAGTAATTGAGACTACAGATGGGCACCACCACATCCTGAAAACTTTTAAATGTTTTTGTAGAAATGAGGTCTTGCTATGTTGCCTTGCTTGTCTCCAACTCCTGGCCTTGGGTACCCAAGGTGCTGGGATGACAGGCATGAGCTACCACACCTAGCCTGCATTTTCTGTTTCTCAAATTTAACACAAGATTCCTTTTATATGAGAAAATAAGTGAATCTTATATTTTTCCAGTCACCACCGGCCTTTAAATGTGTTGTTACCCTGACTAACTGCCACATACTATTTTGGTCTAAGTTTAAAGATACTTCCCTCTAGGAATCCTTTGCAATGCCCCTCCCTGACAGATGAGGACAGTACCATATATCTGGGACTCTCCTCAATCCCTTATCATGGCACTTCGTATATATACTTCACTCTAATTTATTTTATAGACTCTTCCCTCCTTTGTGAAAGCAGAGATCATAATTATCTTGCTCATTGTAACAGGGTTACAGGATGTCCACTCCTGATAACTTTTCTCATCTCTATTCAATGCCTCTAAGACTCAAAGTTTAAATAAAAGTCTGTGTTAAATAAATGTTCAAGATTAAGTGTCAGCCACTGATTGCTGGAAGTACCTTAAGCTGTGATTCTATCTGGGGTTTCCATGATGATGGGATTTGGGGTATAGTCCTAAGTTAATGTGTAATCCTAACTCTAATTATGAACCTGAGGAACCTAGGTATCCTAGCATCAATTAAATCATAAGCTTTAACAATTTTTTAATAAAGATGTTTTTGCCACTAAAACTGGAATTGCTTTCTAGGCAACTTCTTTTATAAAAACAAAAGCAAAGAAAGAGAAATTGAAATGCTCTCTTTGAGGCACAAAACTAATTTTCTCTAGTTATGTGCTAGAGAAGTGATTAAATCTTTTTAATGAACACAGTATTTTTGTTCTTCATGGATCTGTTTACCATCAGAATCTTAGTTGAGAATTGATTTTGAAAATAGTTCTATTTCCTACATGGTATAAATGAAACAAGGCATAAAGCTCACTCCGCAACAATCTACCATTCATTCCTTACTTCAATCCTTAGACTCCTAGAACTGAAATATGAAACTAGAATAAAATTTAGATCATCACTTAATCCAGGAGTTTCTAAAAAGCTCTCCATGGAATCACCCGGCTCTACAGAGTCACTGCAGGGGCCACCACAATGAAGGGAGGATGGGGAAGGGCACACAGTGATAGAATTTGAGCCTGTACTCCTGCTTCACGCAGAACAGCATTCCTGTCATTCATTATAAGATCTTAAGGGAAAGGGAGAGTTTAGTGCTTTAAAAAAGTGATGGATTCAACTGACTGATGGAGAGAACACTGGAGGGTACTGAGGGTACACTTATCAGTAGCTGAGCTACTGTGTAGGCTGCTTTGAGACCTGATTCTCCATCCGGCCCTGTTTCTGCTGTGTCACATTGCCTACTCTGAAAGCTTGTTCTCTCTTCACCTTCAGCTTCCAGAGCTAAGCTCAGCATGATCAACACCATGTCAAAAATTCGTGGCCAGGAGAAGGGGCCTGGCTATCCTCAGGCGGAGGCACTGCTGGCAGAGGCCATGCTCAAATTTGGAAGAGAGCTTGGAGATGATTGCAACTTTGGTAAGAAGTGATTTCTCACATTATAATTCTTTCGTTTGTCTGTAGGATTTTGGTGCTGGTAAGAAATTCTGTAGGAAATCAGTCAAATAATTTTATATTTTGATTTTTTATTTTAGATGTTATATACATGGGCCAAAAATTTGTTTTCAGAATTATTTCATCTGCTCTAAGGTGATTATTTTACAAGTTTTCTTTCTCTCTTCCCCTCATGAGACCTCAGTCTTTACAGTAGCTTTAGTTGACATATCCAGATGCCTCCTTTGCACTTTCTGTTGGGTGTTTCTGGCAGTCATTGAGTATTGAAGCAGAGTGAGCAGGCACAGTCAGCATGATTCAAGCCCCACATGGGCTTTTTTGTAGATCTTTATTCACTTGTATATAGTACCTAGTTCTACTGCCCGAGGTGAGACATGATTTATTCCTTCACCCTGTCCCCTCAATGCTACCACAACCAACATCTCAGCTTTCACCCCCTTGTGATAATGGGATCTCCTTCCTGGTTGAACCTTCCTATTTCTGGTACTTGTTTCTGCTAAATACATTGGCCTTAAGCTTGTCCCATATTAGGGAAAGCTGGTACTTACAAGAGAGGGCAGGGAGCTTCCTAAATTGCTTTTGAAAGGAAAAAGTAACTTACATTCTTGACGAGAGGTATTTACCCTCTTAGGGGGCATTGAGTCTGTTGCCTGGAGTGAACTGAAGATACCTATTCTCTCTTGTCTGTTGTTGTCTTTAGAAGACAAGTGGAAGGTCTTTGGGGTTTTCATCTTTGAAGAGCCCTGTTACAGCGAGTGCATTTCATCTTTATTCCATAACATAAAAGAGCTTTGTTCTCTCCTAGGCCCAGCGCTTGGTGAGGTGGGGGAGGCCATGCGGGAACTCTCGGAGGTCAAAGACTCTTTGGACATAGAAGTGAAGCAGAACTTCATTGACCCTCTTCAGAATCTTCATGACAAAGATCTTAGGGAAATTCAAGTACGTACAATGCATCTTCTGGAAAGTGTGCAGTTGATGAAATCATACAGATCCAGATGCCCTTTTTCTTTAGAAAACATTTTTTAGCTTGCCCTTTGTGTTGTCAGCTCTGGGCACATAAATTACAAAACAGCTCAGTAAGACCAAATGAAAGAAAACAGAAATGTGATACTTTTCAGCCTGATAGGACTGTGCCACTCATGAGGGTTGTCTCTGACTTCTCTGATTTTCATATTGAATAGTTTTTTCAGACTTATTCTCCAGAGAATAACATTCTTTTCCCTGAGAATACAGTTTTATTAATTATTCTGTGGTTTGCTGGACTGATTTCACCCACTAAAATTTTAGTTGTACTGGTTGTTAGCTTAACTAAATAGTTATTCTATCACTCTATAAGCATATATATTTTTTTCAAGGCCCAAAATTAGATGGAAGCATATGTTTTTATATCAGTATTTTCATAATGGTTGTTAGGATTGAGGAAGAATACCAACTATCCTTTTTCTAAAACATATAGAACAGTTGAGCTATTTCTAATAAATAAAGTTCTTTTTTTTTTTTTTTGGAGACAGTTTTGCTCTTGTTACCCAGGCTGGAGTGCAATGGCGCGATCTTGGCTCACTGCAACCTCCGCCTCCTGGGTTCAGGCAATTCTCCTGCCTCAGCCTCCTGAGTAGCTGGGATTACAGGCACGCGCCACCATGCCCAGCTAATTTTTTGTATCTTTAGTAGAGACGGGGTTTCACCATGTTGACCAGGATGGTCTCGATATCTTGACCTCATGATCCACCCGCGTTGGCCTCCCAAAGTGCTGGGATTACAGGCTTGAGCCACTGCGCCCGGCCAGTTCATATGTCTTTGAGTGTAGAATGTTTGCTCACTTTTTTACCTTAGAAATACTTGTTGAGCTTTTTTGAAACTTAACTTTGTTGGGTGTAAATGGATTGCCATAACTTGAACTAAAGCCTCCTCCTCCTTATTCTAGCTTAAATCTCCTTTAACATACCATTTGCTCAAGATTATAGAGTTAGTAAGTGGCAGACTCACCCTAAATCCAAAATATAACTCTGACTCCAGTGCGGTACCCTGTAGCTGACTATAAATTCAAATGTTTATAAAAGAAGTTTCCTTCCAAATGAGCATTTAGTTTGGATCAGGGCATGGATAGGGAGCAGGCGATACAGTGTGAGGGAAGGTCTAGAATATTATTCTTCCTCCTTTTCATTTTTTTTTACCACACCCTACTTTGTTTTCATTTCCTTTCATTCTGCTCCATACATACCTAGTAACAAGGGAAAATCCAGCATTTTCCTTCATCCATTAGTAGTGAAAGACTGTAGCTATCGGGGGAAAAAAATACTTTATAGCTTTGGAAAACTACTCTGCTACCTGGTCACTAGAGGTGATGGGCAGAGCCCGGGCAGCCATCTACTAGAGATGGTGCAGCAGGGGATTGAACCTCAGTGTGGAGCATTAGATATAATCCCTTCTAAGGTCCATTCCAAGTGAGATTTTGTTCTTGAGTTTCATTATATGTCAAGTGAGAGGCTTAAACTAAATCAGTGGTTTCCTGAAAGCTCTATCAGTCAGCTGGGGCAAGTGTTAAGATGTAGATTCCTAGGCCCCAGCCCTAGATATTGATTCAAAAGATCTGGAAATCCATATTTGTAATAAGCAACTTGGGTGATTCTAACAGAATGGATGATTGTAAAAGCAAAAATGCCATTTATGTCTCACTTAATTTCAAGGAAAGTGTTTTTCCTCTGGCATCCCATGAGATATAATTTCTCTTAAAGATGGGGACTGTGGGCCCTGTGAGTGTGTCCTTTCAATGTGTGTAGGGCCTATACATTCCTTCTCTGTTTCTGTCATGGGCTGGAAAGGCTTAGTCCAGCTTGGCTTTGGCCCGACAAGGCCAGAATATAAAGGGCATTCATATTCCTACAATTCATCTTTTATTCTTAATTATTTTTAAAGATAGTCCCCCATATTTAGCCTTTGAAAGCATTGGCCCCATCAATGCATGTTTCTTTTTTTCTTCAGTTACATTGTACTTTAAAATTTAGCCTATCTTTTTGGAAGTTATTGGACATGATGGAGAAGTGAGATGCAAATAAGCTTTCTCCATAAGCCCTTCCAAAGCTTATTCCTGCCCTTGCCTTTTTCAGCATCATCTAAAGAAGTTGGAGGGTCGACGCCTGGATTTTGATTATAAGAAGAAACGACAAGGCAAGATTCCGGATGAAGAGCTTCGTCAAGCTCTAGAGAAGTTTGATGAGTCTAAGGAAATTGCTGAGTCAAGCATGTTCAATCTCTTGGAGATGGATGTAAGTGACTCTCCTGTGGTTTTCAATTTAATCTTATCAAGGCACAGCATTAATGTGTTAAAGGGCCTAACCCTTAAAGCATTAATATCTGATTACACTATGTGATAAGAACTTCAGTAGTTATGTCCTTTAAATAATTTTGATGAAGTAGACTGAGAAATAGAAAAGTTTTTTCCACCTTTCTGTAGTTTGATTTAACCAGATTCTTGTCTGCTAATGAATCTTAAAGTACAGATGCTTCTTAACTTATGATGGGGTTAAAGTCCTGAATAGATCATGTAATTTATTGAATACTGTGTTAAAAGTCAAAAACAGAGTGGTTGTGTGGGTAATTGAAGTATGGTTTCTACTGAGTGCATATCACTTTTGCACTGTTGTACAGCCTACAAATTGTTAAGTCGGGGACATCTCACTTACCAACAGTGGAAAGATAAAGAATATTTCTGATGATCTATGCATAAATTCAGTAGAGGCCTGAGAACTCAGTTGTGGAGGACGGGGCATCAGTAGTCCTGGTGCCAGTCCCAGTGTCCAAAAGCCAGAAAACCTAGAGATGTGATATCCAAGTGCAGGAGCATATGGGTACCCTTCCCTAGAACAAAAAGATAACAAATTTGCCTTTCCTCTGCTTTTTGTTCTCTCTGAGTCCTGAGATGAGTGGATGGTGTCCACCTGCATAGGGAAGGGCAGCTCTTCCTTAGCCTACTGAGTAAATGCCAGTCTCCTCTGGAAACACTGTCACAGACACCCAGAAATAATGCTTTACCACCTATCTGGGGATCCCTTAATCTAGTCAAGTTGACAGCTAACATTAACCATCACATTGCCTACTCCTGACTGTGGCAGAGGAGGCATTTGAACATATCCAGACTTTCCTACCACCTGGAGACAGTGTAGGTTTGTGTTTATGTAAGACAACTTGTGTCCACCTAACTCCTTGAGAGAAATACTGTGGGCATGAGGGGTGATTCAAATCACAGTGCTCCTTCCCTGCCACCCAGCACCCCTCCCCATCCCCAAATTTATGGGATAACACTGCCTCTGATGGCTTGGAGGCTGCTTCCCAGCTGGATCATAATGTGAAACACAAAATCAAGAGAAATCAATCTTTGAATGTTAGAGCAGGAATGAACTCAAGATGTCACTTGATTTAACCCTTTTACATTATAGATGAAGCTCAGAGAGCACAGAAGACTCTCATACCATATCATCTCTCCAGGTGCATTTTATGAGATATTATCACATTTTTATTAACAGGACTGATATTAACAGCATGAAAAATATAGGGAACAAAGAGTCCTTTGGCCAATATACCTTCTTTCCCATGGGAAATTAATAAAAGAAGTCAAATCCCAAATACAAGATGGTGGCTAAGCATGAGACTCTATAGAGCTATGTGGTCTTCCTGAGGATTCCTAATGTTGCTTCTCCTCATGGTACTGATATGTGTGGTTCTAAGCATAAGGATGCTTTCTTATCCTTGATCGATTTGAAACCTGCAGAACTATGTGTCCTAGTTGGCTCATGACACAGTCATCAGTACCATCAAGCAGGGGCTGTGTGTTGAGGGCAGCTCTGTTGTATGTATGAAACAGTAATGGCTGCTTAAGGAGGGTGATGTGGAAACTAAGGCATGATTTTCCCATCCATCTGCAGATTGAACAAGTGAGCCAGCTCTCTGCACTTGTGCAAGCTCAGCTGGAATACCACAAGCAGGCAGTCCAGATCCTGCAGCAAGTCACGGTCAGACTGGAAGAAAGGTATTCTAGTTCCCTGCATTTCACATTTGCATTTTCTTGCTATAAAATGATGTAGAAAGAAATGGAAATCATAGAATACATTTGAAGACAAACATCTGCCAGAATTCCTGCTTATCCTGCAGAGGCACCTTGTGTATTGTTGGTTTTGATTTTGTTTTGTTTTGTGCATTGTTCTGTTTAATCTAATTTTCTGTTTATGAGAGGTCGATACCTGGATTATATTTTGGCTGCCACAGGTGGGATACCAGGAGGCTACTGCTGATAATGGATGCCATTTGCTGGGCAGATGTTCCGTGTGGGTACTGGATACATATCATCATCAATCTTATAATAGCCCTGTAACCTAAGTATTTTTAGCCTCGACTAACAGATGAGTAAACTGAGGCTAAGAGAGGTGAAGGAACTAGCTCAGGGTTACTCAGTGGTGTGACTGGAGTTCACAACCAACCATAACCTGTTTGAAAGGCTCTTTTTGACTAGGCATGGTGGTTCACGCTCTTAATCCCAGCACTTGGGGAGGCTGAGATGGGCAGATCACCTGAGGTCAGGAGTTTGAGACCAGCCTAACATGGAGAAACCCTATCTCTACTAAAAATACAAAATTAGCTAGGCATGGTGGTATATGCCTGTAATCCCAGCTACTCTGGAGGCTGAGGCAGGAAAATCGCTTGAACCCGGGAGGCAGAGGTTGCAGTGAGCCGAGATCACACCATTGCATCCCAGCCTGGGCAACAAGAGGAAACTCTGTCTCAAAAAAAAAAAAAGGGGGTTGTTTATTTTTACATCTCGTGTTTCTCTGAATGGTGATGAAGGTCCTCTGCCATCAGAGACAGCTGCTTTCACCTCCTTAGTTGCACCTCACAGCAGGGTGTTAGCAGCAGGAAACCATGTGAGTGCGGCTCTGTGGGGTCCTGGGGCACAGCCTGTGTGGCTACATACCAGTGGCCCTGTGTTATCATATGCTTTTTATTTTAATTTAGCCAGATTAAACAGGATGATTTTGCTGAACACATATACCTCAAAGGGTCAACTCAGCAGGCTTTTTTCTTAGATTACATGGCCAGGTTAAACTCCCATAGCTAGCTGATCACATGGCTGAATGCATGATGAACAGTCTAGTCATACAATTTCACGCTGTTGAAAATATCACCTATATTCACTGTTTTCTTCTGACTGATCTTGTCTCAGTATCTTCTTTGATTTGTGGTTTGATTGAGCATTTTCCTTCAGTGCACCCTTGTGGAAATGTATGTAAGCCTCCAGAAAGGTTTTAAAACCATGTACTTCAAAATACTAAAGAAATGTTATGTGTCTTTTAATATCTCTTGCGCATGAAGGGAGCACTTTCCTTTTTTCCCTCTGAAATATGTTCAAAATCAGTATCAGTCTACAGTTAGCATACCCTAAACCCTCGTTCTCCCTTGCACATCTCTTACATACTTTGTTTATTGAATACCTGAGACTGTGGAAAATATTTAGGGGTGGGCAGAAGACACTTATTGGCCGTACCTTTCCAATTTCCCTCTGTCTTCCCTCTTTCATCTTTTCCTCCCTGTATCTCAAACTGCCCATTCTCTTCAGAGCACACACTACATTTCCTCCTTCCCTCTGTCTAAACCTTCTCATATTCTGCATGGAATAGCTTCCTTTCACATTTTCATTTGGGAACGACTCCTGTATATCTTAGTTCTTTCCTTAAGCCTTCTCTACCTTCCCCATGGAGAGGTAGTCTCCTTCCCACCTTCACCACCAACTACACCCCTGTGTTCCTGTGGCACTTTGTAGATATCTCTGACAGTGCTTACTAAAATTTATGGTAATCAGTTGTTGATGTTCTCCCTCCCTTACAGACCATAATCTGTTTGTGTCTTTTTTTTAATTAAAAAAATGCGGATACATAGGTGTATATATTTATGGGGTACATGGCACATTTTAATACAGGCATGCAATGTATCGTAGTCATATCATGGAGAATAGGGTATGCATCCCCTCAAACATTTATCCTTTGTGTACAAGATCTGTGTCTTAATTCATTTTTGTGTTCCTGTTACCTAGTACGGTGTGTATTTGCATAAAGGACTCCGAATAAATGAAAGAGGAAGTGAGGGATTGAGAGAGAGAATGAAGATAGTAAGGATATGGCCCCATAAAAAGACATCACCAAAATCTCAGATATACACATAGAAGAAAACTAAGGGTCCTTTTTTGATTTCCCACACTTTGTCATGGTAGAATGGTGGGTGACCCAAGCATATCCTGAATCTTTATATTCATGTTTCTTTTTACTTCTTAACTGGCTACATAACCCTCCCACCACTTTCCTTTTTACTGCAGAATAAGACAGGCTTCATCTCAGCCTAGAAGGGAATATCAACCTAAACCACGAATGAGCCTGGAGTTTCCAACTGGAGACAGTACTCAGCCCAACGGGGGTCTCTCCCACACAGGCACGCCCAAACCTTCAGGTAAGGAGCTGAGACTGCAGGTCCTATTGCATAGGCCTTGGCATATCCATCGGCACTTTTGCAGAAATTGTAGGAACAATCCAATCTGGCTGCATAGGAAATATGCAGTAATATATTTCTTATGGGGTGGTTTGTCAGGTAGAAACTCTGTTAAAGAATTCCTTTTGTCTTCTTTCATTGACCTTTTTCTTTCCTTCCTTTTCATTCTTCTCTATAAAACTTTGTATATCCCTTTTTCTCCCTCAGTCATCAGCACACATGAACATATTTTATTCTGACCCTCTTTTGTGGTCATAAATCACCTTTCCTTGTCAGTTTGGTGCCACAAGTGTTATCTTTGTTTCCTACCTGTTCTCTCTGAATCCAGCCTGCATAACAATGAATACCCCTGGGCAGCGTGTCCCCATATGCATTCACATATAACCCACAGACGGCAAGCGGCTCCAGAAATGTGCTGATGAGCTGGATTTCTTGAGTCACAGAAACATATGGTTAAATATATTTGCAGAAGAAGATATTTTTAATTTCAACACTTGCTAGCTTTCTTTCCCATGCCTCACCTCTGATCAGTTTATCATGCTGTTGTACTGAGTTTGATATAATTAAAGTTAGATGACATTTAATCTCAGGAATATCAATGCATACCTAATAGAGTATTCTTTTCCTTGTCACACTTGTTCTCCATGCCCTACACATAGATTACACAACAGCCTGTGCTGGAGACATTTTCAACCTCCACATTTGCTTGTTCAAAGTGGGAACCGTTTTATACTGCATATGGATGTTAGAGACAGGCAGCTTTCTTTTATTTTTCCTGCATCCTCCGTGCTTGATGTTCTAAAGTAGAAAACTTTATAACATGCTCTCAGGAGATTTATTAAGGAAAAAAGTGAGGTCTGAGCCAGCAGGTGGCGCTCTCTGTCCTTTGCGCTCAGTGCTTCAAGGCACGGCATAAGCAGCCATGGCTCCTGGAGCTGGCTACCAGGACTGGTCATAGAAATTGTGTATAGCTGTGATTCTCCCTGCCTGGAAACCAACCGTATGTTTCACCTTTCATCTGGAGACTCATTAATTTGCTTCTCTGTCTAAAATCAAAAAATAAATTACATTGTTTCTTTTCCTGCCACATAGATGGCATGGGAGCCATATGCGCTTGACTGAGTCTCTATCTACGTGTGTGTGTGTAATATTAATGGATTGGGTCATTTGGAAAGATCCCTCTTAAGATGTGAGTTCATCCTTCATTATTTTACTCAAGGTAGAGTACATTGTTTTTTATATGCCATAGCTCCAGGGCACTGCATATATTTATATATACAACAATTTACCAAGTATACATTTTATGATTTTTTTTCAGAAGCTAATTTAATAGCCACAATAGTAATGTGTAGTAAGTCCTACTGTTAGACCCAGTTTCAGATACTGAAACTCAGAGTGAAGTACCTTGTGCAAGGTCAAAAAGAATTTCAACTCAGTGTTTTATATTATTCTGTTTTTACTACAGTACAGCAGTTTCCAGAGGCTAGGGTTGTTATTTTAAAGAGTGATAACTGAACTATTACTCTGAGGTTGCAAAACATTGTCCATGTAAGTAACCATACTTTTTCAAATATGCAGAGATTTTAAAGTGCTCACGTGAGAGAATTCTGGCCATGCTGTGTTATTAACCTACATCATTCTATTCTTCTGAAGTCATTATGCCTCTTATTACTGGGCATTATCATGAAGGCAGACTTTAATGAACTCTTGTATGTATCACAAGAATAGATGTGACCATTTTTCATACTGGAAACAGAAACAGGAATATATAGCAACTTCCAAAGGTTTGAGGAAATTTTTGAGGACTAGTAGCGGGCAAGATGCCCAGTGCAGTGGACACTGAGGTCTGGTAGCAAGAAGAAGCTTCAACAGGAAGAGGAATGAGGGAGGAAAGACGGGGAACAGAAAGCCAGGTGGGTACAGCAGGCAGCAGATTCTGTGAGTTAAATACTCTTCATCCTCTTGTGTTCTCTTCTCTCCTGCTTTTACTCTCAGGTGTCCAAATGGATCAGCCCTGCTGCCGAGCTCTGTACGACTTTGAACCTGAAAATGAAGGGGAGTTGGGATTTAAAGAGGGCGATATCATCACACTCACTAACCAAATTGATGAGAACTGGTATGAGGGGATGCTGCATGGCCATTCAGGCTTCTTCCCCATCAATTATGTGGAAATTCTGGTTGCCCTGCCCCATTAGGATGTTATGCTGGCTGGCTCACCTCCTCTTGACCCAGATAGTTACGGTTAACCACTGCTTTGGTAATGCTGCTTATAACACATCCCAAGTGCAGGCCGCAGTGGTCCACGTCATCCAGCCCCACCAAGTGTCTTTGGTTGACTTGTGGGCTCCCACAGGAGTCATGGTGATGGATGATATCCTCTTAGCCTGTGGGCATGGCATGTGCTTTTTAAACAACATCTGAGACCAGCCAGTAGTCACAGAACTGCTGTTTACACAGTTCTCAGGAGGCTGTGGTTTCTTAGAATATGACTGTGAGCCACATCACAGAAAAACCATCCCACTGAAGATATTGTCTATCACCCAGGGGCCATCTGAAGGTCTCTTTGCATTTCTCCATGCAAAGAGGAGAAAGCGTTTGCTTTCACAGTGTCCCTTCCCAAATACGTGAGTCATGGAATTGTCAAAGAAAGCCATCCCTCACCAGCAAATTGTTTCCTGATCTGAATGAATTTGTCTCTTAATGCATCCATAGAAAAGTGTTTCAAAGCATTCTGTGCAAACAGGCATCTCAGTTCTTATTCACACTTATGGCTATTTCTGAGGTATAGCCAGTTTTCTTCCCTCCTTGCTATTAAAGCCAGAGAGGTAATTCTAAATTATTTTTCAGTAAGATAGTTAACAATCAACATTATTATGAGAGGGGCTAAAAAGAGGAAATTCTCCTTTGTGAGAAGTTGGGAAGAAATCTGGTATCTGAGCTTAAATTTCTTGCTGTACAGAAACTATGTATGCATTTAGACTATTTATGAAGGACACAGGGAAGGGGTAAGAAATATTTTCACTTCTGTTTTATTTATGAATTACATGTTTCATGAATCCATTTGACACAGAGACACAAGGAGAAAAACACTAGTAACCATTTTTCCACTAGTCCATAGACTGAGAAACAGTAAATTCCTTTTCTTTCCACTGTTACCTTGTGTTCTTTGAACATCATTTGTGCATATTCTGCCCTCAATGAGGACCAAATAAAGATGATTTTTGTGCTTAGCAGTTTAAGATATGTGACTGCATATGCAAAACTCTTTCCCAATTCAGTTGCTACTTTTACTTCTGCCCCTTCTATCCATCTTCTTCATTTTGTGTGTACAGTGCTGTGTGTATGCTTCTCAGTGTTTTTGTTTTTTTATCTGTATCAGTCATGAAAGTCCTGTTATGTTTCCAGAGTTCTATTTATCTAGCTGTACAGACTCTTTCAGAGGTTTAATGTGCTGCTTCCGATGTGCCACCTGCAGTAGTGGATCATGTGGAGTGAAAGGCAAATCTTACTGCTTACTGTATAAACTCTCGCCATGGGAAGCGTCGCTGTTTCCAATAAATATTGCTGAAGACAGAACCAAAGGCTCCGCTCCTTCATTTTGCGTCAGTTCTTTGGGTCTAACAATGGGTAGAAGGGGGCTGGTTTCAGTCTCCATTGCTTCTCATGCAGCCAAACAAGACCTGGTTCTAACTTCCTATCTATGTCTTTAGACATAGAAAAAGTTTCAGCAGTAAGGAGGTAGCTAGCCTGGACACTGGGACCTTTCTGGTAACCCCAGGAAGCAGGAGAATTTGGGAGAGAAGAAAGTAAGGAGAATCAGTTCTCATAGATATTAAATGATATATCATTGAAAGTGATATCATCTAAAGAATATAATGTTAGGAAGGGCAAATAAAATATATCTCTTCAACTGGCCTTTTATTTTCTTTCATGATTGAAGATAAAGAAATATATATGGAAATGTAGTTTGATCAAAAGCTAGTATAAGGCCAGTTGCTGTGGTTCACATCTGTAATACCAGCACTTTGTGAGGCCAAGGCAGGTGAATCACCTGAGGTAAGGAGTTTGAGACTAGCCTGGCTAACATGAAGAAACCTCGTCTCTACCAAAAATATAAAAATTAGCTGAGCATGGTGGCGCACACCTGTAATCCCAGCTACTTGGAAGGTTGAGGCATGAAAATCACTTGAACCTGGGAGACAGAGGTTGCAGTAAGCAGAGATCATGCCATTGTACTCCAGTCTGGGCAACAAAGTGAAACGCTGTTTCCAAAAAAAAGCTAGTATTGTTTTCCCTTCATGTATGTTCTTGGGGTGTGAGTAGGAATAGGGGAGCAGCAGGGCACACAGAATATATATTTCCTGAGGTTCCAATAAAATAAACATGTTCTTTGTGTATTAGGGGCTCTATCATTTTATGCTAGGCCAGTAGTCTAGATTTTCTAATCGAACACGAATAGTTGTAATTAAATATACTAAGTTTCTATTAGTCTGTTTTCAGACGGCTATGAAGAAATACCCAGGACTGGCTAATTTATAAAGAAAGAGGTATAATGGACCCACAGTTCCATGTGGCTGAGAGGCCTCACAATCATGGTGGAAGACAAAGGAGGAGCAAAGCCACATCTTACATGGCAGCAGGCAAGAGAGCATGTGCAGGAGAACTGCCCTTTATAAAACGATCAGATCTCATGAGACTTGTTCACTGTCATGTGAACAGCATGGGAAAACCCACCCCCATGATTCAATTACCAATTACCTCTCACCTGATGCCTCCCACAATATGTGGTGATTGTGGGAGCTACAACTGAAGATGAGATTTGCATGGGGACACAACCAAACCATATCAGATGTCTGTATGTGAACTAGTCTAACATGAAAATATTTTTTCCAACTGTATGAGTTCTAGAGTATTACAGATCAATTATCTAAACCAATTTTAAGAAATACCAATTGTGATTGTAGAAAATCATAATCTAAAGATAAAACTATTAAAAATCAATGAATTTAATAGGATCACTAGATATAAGATGAATATATAAAAATTTAATTTATTTATATCAATAGCAATCAGAAAAATGTAATTTTAAAATGTCATTCACAAAGGCATCTAAAATCAAAACAGATACAAATCTAGCAAGATTGTACATAATCTTGCATAAAAAACTATGGAACATATTTTAGAAAGTAATTGAAAGACATTCTCTGTTTCTGGATTGGGAAACTCAGTCCTGTAAAGGTATCATTTCCCCCCAAATGTAGTTGTTTATTAAGTGCAATTTCAACCAAAAATCTCAGGAAGTTTGTTGCTATGTGTTCAAGAATTGACAAGTTCACCTTTTAAGCCTGTCATAAAATTTATGTGGAAAAGCAAAAAGATGTTTTTTCTCAAAGAAGGACAAAGTTGGAGGACTAACTCATTCTAGATATAAAACATTAAAAAGTTACAGTAATTAAGGTAGTTTGGTTTTGATGCAAAGATAGGAAAAGAATAGCAAGTCCAGAAAGAGACATACATGCATCCAACCACATTTGAACCAAAAGCATTTCGTTAGGTTCAATGTAATTCACTCATATCAACTGTACCTTTGAATATTAGTTCCAAACCCCAAAGTGAAAACAGCAAGACCTCACACCAAATACAGTAATCTCATTCTGAGTCAATGTCACATGAAACAAGTGTCACGACCACAGATTCCAGGAAGAACTGATTCTTTATTTAAGGAAGTCTTTTGGAGATCATTACTAATGCACTCACCAAATACAGGACTGTTTGAATTCCTTAGTTTTATTGAGGTATAGTTAACACCTTAGTGCAAACCCTTATGTACAGAAATGACTCACTGGACCACCACTAGAAGTTGAACTTACCCTAAAACACTTTTTCTTCTAAGTCGAATCATAGCGACAAACTGTCTGAAGTAGAAACAGAAGCAGAATGAAACTGAACTAAAATGATTAACAAATTCAGTGGGGCAATCATTTCATTTCTTTTTCTAATAGATCTACTAGATTTAATAGGTCTTTTTTTTTTTAACCCCAAATAAAGTAGAGCTAAGAAACCACATATGGCACCACCTCCACCTTTCACTAGGTTCTCTGTGGAAAAGAATGTAGTTCTGGACAACCCCACAATACTGTCAACTATTGATTCCCTTTGACTTAATGATTATAAGGTTCTTTTGATTTTATATTTCTTCTTGAGTCGTTTTGACACATTTTATCTTTCTTTATTTGAATCCCTTTATTATGTCGTTGCCAGAATAAATATCTGTAAAACATGTTCAGTCATAGAAAATTATCTTTTTTTTTTTTTGAAAGAAAGAAAAAGGGGGAGAGAGAACAGGAGTCTTGCTCTATTGCCCAGGCTGGAATGCAATCTAAAAATAGGTATTAAAAACCTCTTTTATGCCGATAATTGTGCTTAATAGCAGAGACAGGAAGGAATAAGAGAAGAAAATAACACAAACAGCCAACCAATATTTCATTTAAGTCTGTGAAATGCTATGCAAATGCTGAAGAGTGCTTTACTTCCAATTATGTGGTCACTTTCAAAATAGGTGTAATGTGATACTGAGAAAAATGTATGTTCTGTGAACCTGGGGTGAAGAATTCTATAAATATTCACTGAGTTTACTTGTTCCAGGTCTGAGTTCAAATCATAGATGTCCCTGTTAATTTTCTATCTCGTTTCTCTTTAGTAGGTCTTAAAGAGAAAACTCTAGGAGTATAGTTGTTTTCACTTAGTTTCTCTTTGCCATAAATCAATAGACAGTAAGAACGATATGACCTAGAATGGAAATTTCCTTGGGGCTGTGTATAGTACATAATATATATTCTGGAATGTGCCAAGTCCTGATCTATATAGATTAGGAAATTGAGATTAGCCCAACACTTCATTTTCAAGATAGCTTCTAGTGTTCTGGATGAAACTATTAATACGTGGTCACTTTTATTTTCTTTCACTGAGATCTCAGGAAACAGTATCTGGGCAAGCCTGTGTTTCATTAGTCAGATTAAGAACTTCATTAGTCAGGTGAAGACTGCCTGCCATCTCACCGGGATGGAGAGGTGACGCAGGAGGGACATTATGCTGAAGAAGGAGACAGACAGAACTCTGGGTGATGGTGGAAAAGACTTAGAGTGCTGCAAGGCCTTACCAGCAGTTTCTAGACCCAGCTTTTAGAGGACTAGTTATGAACCCCTTGGTTAAAAGAGCTGTCAAGGAAAAGAACAAAGCTATTTTTTAAGGGCCCATTGAATGCTAACCGCTTACAGGTCAGGCAGTTGAATGTTACTCTGCTATCAGGTATGCCATAGTGATGGTGGCCTTCCACTTCGGGCAGGAGACAACTGTGATTCTTGACAGCAGGGGAGTAGGCTGTCAGCTTTGGGAGTAAAAGGATGGAGCACAGCGTCTCAGTACCACTTTCTTGAAAAGGGAACTGAATATGATGATTTGCTAGTTTGGGAAAAGGCCAAAGAAGCCGTTTTTAAAAAGCTCTGTCAGTGACTTTTATTTGCATCTCTTATCAAAACATCTGCCTCCAGGACTCACGGAGATAAATTAAAAAGCCACCTAAAGTTTCATAAGCTTACTTGATAATAGGAGTCACCTGGAGATAACTGTACAAATTGAGTTTCCAGGTTCTCATTACAGCTGCTCAGAATCATAACTGCCCATAGAGGGGCCTAGGAAGCATTTATCATGGAAAGATTGAGGGAAAAATTGACAGGGTATCTAAAACTGATATGCACCAGAATCACCTGGGTCTTGTTAAAACATGCCTGGACTCCATCTCCAGATGTTCTCATTTAGTATGCCTGGAGTGGGGCCCAAGAATATGCATTTCTAACAAGCTGCCTGTACAGATGTTGCCAGTCCGTGGACCACACTTGAAGTAGTGCTGCTCCCCCAAATAGACTCAGGAAGAGCCAGCTGTTGGTCAGAAAACATAGACCTATTATTCAGCCATTTTCTTCAACTGAAATGTTCTTTTTGCTCACACACCGAATAAAACTTGAGTGGGGAATGATGGCTTAGGGAAATCCAGGCATTTTTTGCAGACCCAAGAAGTCCCTCTTGAGTTGTGCCCTGGTAGCTGCTTAAAAATGCCCTCGAGGGTCAGCATCAAGTTTTTTTTTTGTTTTGTTTTTTTTAAGCAAGCTTCCCAAGCAACTATCAGATTCAGGCGAGTTTGGGGAGCACTTGAGTATATAAAAACTTTTATAAATAAGCATCCAACTGCTCACTGACTTTCTTATTTACTGTTTTTGCTTTGAGACATTCGCATTTCTTGATTGATCCAGTAACATCTACGCATGTTTCCGCTCAGAGTGATCTTGCCAGTTCAGGACGTCCTAGGGTTTTCCCAACTTTGCTGACGGCATTAAAGGTGCACTAGATCTGAGTCTCTGCTGACTTGGAATTCCCACCTTCTTCCTGGTCATTCCTTTATGCTTTGCTGCCCACTTCCCGTTGAGGAAATCGGAGAGAGGTAAGTCTGTGTTTAGCCCCGGTTCCTCAGATGGGCTACTCTTAGTGCTCTTGCTTTTCTTATTTAGATCAGTGGGTCACACCC